CGTAAATACGTCATTTACTAACCATTACAAGCATGGAGCCCATAAAAAGAGCAGGAGTCTGGTGAGGATGCCAGCTTTGACGTTGATGGGTTATTTTATTTCCAACAGACCCCCCCCCCCATGTGTTTGTGTGCATGGATAATAAAAGTACATTTATTGAAGCAGCCAAGCTATAGTCTGTAAGCTTTTTGTGTTTTTAATATTCTGAAGTACGAATATTACAACTATATCCTGAGTGGTCTGCCATGACTAAAAAACATTTGTTTTGGCAGGTTTTGTGATTTATTACAGTTCTGCAAATGTGTCTCACAGATCTTTTAGTGGGTTGCATCTTGTCCAACCAACAACTATTTTATGTGTGGTGTATTTTTGCGCTTACAGGGGCAGGATAAAACTTGAAAAATGTTTAGATATGTGTAGTCTGTAACAGACATGAAATAACCATCTTAGTGTGAACTGAAACATTTCTATCAAAAATGCAAATTAATGAAATACTTGTGAGCCACTAGAAGTTTTCTTACTTATAAAGCAATAAATTCAGTGTATGAAAATACTAATAATATTGAATTTATGAATAAAGTGAACGACTTAAATCAATTGACGTGCTTGATTAAATAATTAAATATTTAGATGCCAGGTACTTTTTACACCCTCTCCAGGTGTATGGATGTTAATTTCATATATCTCTATATTGTACCGGCTCCAAAATTAATAAATCTAAGTGCTCTAAATAAATAAATAAATATTGTATATAACTAAAAATTCAATAATAATCTATATCCATAATACTAAATTCATAATTGCAAAATACTTGAATCCATGATTGAAGTGAATCAAAAAAATTTCATTAATATTTGTAAATCAATGTGCCTGAAAAAAAATTCAAAAGTGAAAAAAATATATAATGATATATGAAAATATAAAAAATAAATAAATTAAAATAAACTGGAAGAAAATTTTGTATGAATTAATAATAGTTCAGTTCAACGAATTGAGATGGTAATGTGAATCAATCTGATTGGCGTGTGTAAGTCTATGTTCATGGCATGAACCTCTCTCTCCTTCCTCCTCTCCTTTCTCCTCAATTCAGCTTTTCTCAATTAGGACTTTCTCCTCTATCTGCTTGGCTTATTCCTCCATGAACGATACATACATAGAAAAGGGAAAAAGAAACATAGTGTCTTATCCTGAGTAAAAATGTTTAATGAGCTTCTGATCTCCCACTCACATGGTATCAGCAAAAGTAACGCTTTTGTGTAAATAAATCCAGGTCCTCCTGCAAACAGCCCTGCAGGTGTGTGTGTGTTCACTCGCTATACTCGCCGTCCTCTCTGTGGATGCGTGATGACGTCACCGCCCCTCCCCTAGGAGGGGCGGTGACGTCATCATGCATCCACAGAGGAGACGGCGAGTATAGCGAGTGAACACACACACACCTGCAGGGCTGTTTGCAGGAGGACCTGGATTTATTTACACAAAAGCGTTACTTTTGCTGATACCATGTGAGTGGGAGATCAGAAGCTCATTAAACATTTTTTACTCAGGATAAGACACTATGTTTCTTTTTCCCTTTTCTATGTATGTATCGTTCATGGAGGAATAAGCCAAGCAGATAGAGGAGAAAGTCCTAATTGAGAAAAGCTGAATTGAGGAGAAAGGGGAGGAGGAAGGAGAGAGAGGTTCATGTCATGAACATAGACTTACCACGCCAATCAGATTGATTCACATTACCATCTCAATTCGTATGAACTGAACTATTATTAATTCATACAAAATTTTCTTCCAGTTTATTTTAATTTATTTATTTTTTTTATATTTTCATTATATATCATTATATATTTTTTCACTTTTGAATAGTTTTTCAGGCACGCAGTTTTTTTGCATTGATTTACAAATATTAATGACATTTTTTTTGATTCACTTCAATCATGGATTCAAGTATTATGCAATTATGAATTTAAGTATTATGGATATAGATTATTATTGAATTTTTATGTTATATACAATATTTATTTATTTATTTATTTAGAGCACTTAGATTTATTAATTTTGGAGCGCGGTACAATATAGATATATGAAAATGAAACATTTCTATGGCATGATCTTTAAATATAACCTGATAACAAGTTTGCTTCAGATCCAGACGCTGGCTGTATGCAAACTAGCCAATTTCTTAAAGCAACCAGGCATCTGTATCTTTGCTGCCCTGCTGAGGGAAACATGTAGGTTGTCACTGCAGATCATTGCTTCTGAAAATGCTAGATGCTCAACTGTTATGGTGATTCATTGGCCTTCGTAGATTAATTGTTAACCTGGAACAGTTGTGTAGTTTAGGGGTTCTAATGTCAAATCCTGGATGCTTGTTTTAGGTCATCTTTGGTGAATCAGAAAGCATTGAAGCCGATGACTGAGAGAAAACAGCATTTTTAGAATTGTACAGGTTTCTGCTAGAACTGTTAGGACGTATGTGTATGGTATCCCTTGCTGTGGGCAGCTATGACATTCCAAGCAGGAATCATTACACATCCTGCTCCTTTCCAATTCTATGGTTTATAACTGGAACATACGGTTGTGCTATAATGTATAAATATATATTTTCTTGAAATGAAAGTTATGTGCGCCTTTTAGCTACGAGTAGATTTTATCTAGAGTTCACTTTGGATTTTTATACAGAGCTATTCTAGACTCCAGTTTCTCACAGGCGTACTTAAGCATACACCCGTGTGAGGGCCATGTTTTGCCTGCATGGGATTCACAGGTATTCCATGCAACCGCATGCAGACAGTCCCTTTCATAGCATTTGGTATGCAGCAGCTGACATTGGTATGGTTGGATTTTGCCAACACACCCACTATATGCGTTCAGGGACATGCACCCACTCGGATGTCCTATTGGGAGCAGTAGCTGTGTCCATGCAGCCACTGCACCCAAATTGATTTGAATGGGACTGCCTGCACACAGATGCACAGAACAGCTATTCTCCACAATCTTTATATGGGGTGTCCAGCTGAACGAGGTTTAACATTTAGCTATCTCCTCTAGGTGAATTGTACAATCTGGTGGGCTTTTAATAGAAAAAAAAATTTGAAGCAAAGAAATACTAATCTTAGTGTTTTTTTTTTTTTTTTTTTTTTATACTGTATTCGTCATCTGTTGCAGTGCAAATTGGAAAATGCTGGTGCAGCTACTTTGGTTTTAGCTATTATTGTTTGCATTAAAATTAAGAAATGCAACAAAGAATCTGATTAGTGCCATGTATGACATCCTAACTTTCCTTTTTTTTCTGTGTTAATGTTTCCCCTCTCTACTAGTTTTAACCAGTCATATCAGCCTGTTTATTTGGTTTCTTTACAAGGCTTTATCAGAGGAGCTTTCCTGGCTACCTCTGACATTCTGCACATAATTTGGCTGGGCAAGACAGGTGCCTCTGTTTGGGACCTAGGGTTATGAACAGACTACTAGCCGTAATGGGATCATGCATTTTTGTCTGTATTCCGACCTTAGCATCTGAGTGGATTTCCAGGGAATATATGCTGCACCTCAAAATATAATTATGGTATATTAAGTATCCCAGTTTAGTTGCAATTCCAAACACTTTTTCACCTTGGAGTAATATATCCTTTAGGTATGATTAAGCTATAACAAATGGCATTATACACCTAGCAATGGAGACTTGGGTCTGACTGTCAAAAGCTAATATACTTTTCCTGGCCCTCCTTAATGTGGTAGTATATAACCTAGTTTACAAAGTCTTTTTCCGGCATACACCTGTTGTAATCTCATAAAATGTGACAGTGGTGAAGATGCCTTAAGAAGATTGCTTCCGTTTTACACTTTTTCATTGCCATTAAGACAAGATAAGATTGCAGATAAGAATGGACTCTGAATTCTCTAACGTTTCAGTGAATTCTACTAAAACACTATTTAGAATACCATGTGTGGCATGTGCTTTGCTTTCCTACATTGGTAGAGTCTGCCAGAGTAAAAACACTTGTCAAATTCTTATAACAATTGGGTCCTATGTTCACAGACAAGTTCATAAGAATGATTATGGCTGTAGTTTGGCAAATGGATAGGTAACCTTCACTAAAAAAATTAATCTGTACAAATAATGCCATTTACATTAAATTAATGTGGTTAAACTTTGTACCTGAGTGAATACTGAAGCATTAAGCAAAAAATATATAAATGCATGCTTCGTCAAGTTCTTTATAAATATATTCTATAGAATACTAGCACTTAGGTTTAAAACCAGCATAGGTTTATTGTCTTGCTAGTCTTTTACAAATGAACAGTAATAATTACAACATATTGAACAGGCAGGGCCTGATAAAGTGGCTGTGCACTGTGTAATATTATGCCCTGTTTTCTTCTGCTTGCTGTTCTTTACGTGAGAAGCCAGCATCTTTGCATGGACAGTTCATTGGATGGTAAACCCTGTAGACTTAGTTGCAGAGATGAACAGTTTGCAGCTCTACAGCTGTTGTGCGCCCAAGTTTTGTAGCCATCTCTGCTTCAGTGTACAAATTCAAATCTCTGATGTTGTATACTGCAGATGATAAAGCTCTATGCCCTTTGTCTGGAAAAAATTGTGTGTAGCTAATATAATTTGCACTACATCCTAGATATTTTTGCCATTGCTGGCCTGCTTTTGAAACTTTATCTCTTTTTAATCCTTTGCAGCTTTCCAGAGTACTTATGAAATTAATTTCTCAACCCATTTGATGCACCTTCCTTTGACTTTTTTCATTGAATCCCAATAATTCTACTTGAAAGCATTTCAGTGAGCTCAATGCAATGACATTTTTCAAAGGTGCTTTCACAAATTCTTGGCTGATCATTGCTAAGACATTCAGTGCAAATTTATAAATGGAAGGTCAGAGAGGACCCAATGTACAAAGTAGCATTTCATGTATATTACTTTATAAATTAATGAATATATGAAGCACTCTCTCTCAGAACATGATTAGGAGCTGATATACATCATGGCCTGGGCTTATTTACACATAGCTCACTTGCTCCTCAGTCTTTCCAGCTTCATTTTCAGTGAGCAATAAGGTATCAAGCAAAATGGCAGATGACTCGAGCTGTGAGTTACGTAATCTTAGTGGACTTTGATATATGACTGGGTTTATCCCATTTTTCATTCCATGTTTCATGATGAGCTTTGAATTTTCTGCCACGGAGTTCCGGAACGATATCCGACTAGAGCAGTTCCGTAGGAGTTTTACTGAGTGCATACCACGGAAATTGCAAGTGATGTAGCGCCCAAAGGCATCTCTGAAAGTCTTGTTAAATAGAGTGTAGACTAATGGGTTGACCCCAGAAGAAATATACCCAACCCAGACAAATATTTCCATTAGCATCTTGATTACATTGGGGTCACAGTCATTTGGGTCACAGAGGACTGAGGCCACATTGGTAATGAAGAAAGGGCACCACATAAAAACAAACAAGAAAAAGACTATGCCCAAGACCTTAGATGCTCTTTGTTCATTGCTAATGGTCTGCATAGATTTCTTACCCACACTGGATAGCCTTCTTATAGGAAATTCATCACAGTTAATCTGCAATGGCCGATCACGTCTTGGACCATCTAACATAGCAACTTTTTCTGGAGAAGAACCGGGAGTAATATCTCTCTGAAAGACGGTGGATACTGTGGACCAGGTTAAGCGCTGTGGGGGTTTGTTCTTGATTAGATATGCTTTCTTTCTCAGTAAGTGAATGGTCAGAAAGTAAATGACTACCATAATTGCAAATGGGATAAAAAATGCAGCCATGGATCCATAAATTATGAAATACTTGAAGTGGTCAGTCCGAACAAGGCATGTGTTGTTTGGGTTGAAGATGGTGTTGGGGTCAATGAGACCTTTGATTGGGATAGGGACAGCAATGCCTGAAAGGGAAAAAAAAAAAGATCATTTTACTTTTTAAGTAAACTTAATCATTTTTAAGTGCTGCACCGAAGGGGATAATTTCTGTTGATATGAAGCACTTATAGAAAACTAATCCTCAGACATTTGCTAATGTTTTCAGATTAGCCAGAACATTGTTTTTTAATGTATGCAGTCTTAGAAGATATTGGTTTCTTTTTAATGGTAGCTGGATTTTTTTTCAAATAGTAATCATTGAAGCATGTATCACAACAACTGCAACATTATAACCGTAAAAACATGGTCTTGTTGTCAGTTAGTTGCATCTTTCTGAAAATTTGATTTCCTGTCCTGCCGTACAGCTGCCGCTTACTGATTACCAAAGCTTTATCATGCAAGACCCAAGTAATCTGATCATTACGCACTGTAAGCTATTTCAGGCCAGAATAAATTAAAGGAAAGTGTTTCTGATCCGTTCTGTGGGGAAGCATGAGGATAGTTTTTCAGGATGTCCCAGTTATGCAGGGCACCTCCACAGCTGCAGGATTCAGAGAGGATCAGCAGGTTGTCATAGCTTCTCTAACTAGCAGAGCCTGTTGCCAGTTAGTCTACTTGCCTAGGATTAGGAGCGGAGGTTGCACCTTGTATGACATTTGTATAACCTCTGATTGTGCATACTAGCAGAAGACCTTTTCAGAAAGTAGCAAAGAATACATATTTGAGTATAACGTGTATTATCTAACCACCTTTTGATGTTTCCCTTATACCTTTTTTAGTTTGTTTTTTTTTTGTAAAGTTGTGGTCCATGCAAACAGCTGATTACAAGTAAAGGAAGTGCTGTTTTATGCCTGTAGGTAGATTGAGTAGTAGTAACTTAAACCAGATCTCTTGCTAAAAACCTAGTGGGATTTAAAGCTTAATTTTTTTAAAACCTACTTGTTACCTAATAACACTTAATTATCATTAAAGTACACTTCATGGATGAGTATTTTTAAAAGTAGGCCAGCAATGGCAACCCCTGTACTTTTCTCATGACAGGTATCTTTTAAATAATGCTTGCTATAAAGGGCAGCTTTTCAGTAAATTCTGTTTAGGAAATGCATTCAAAAAAAGTTTATGCTGAAATTAATTGCTGTTTTTCATTCACCAAAACTGGTAAATATACAAGTTTCACATACAGCTCAATAGTATTATAGGTACCAAAAGTGATTGTAAAAGATCAAATTGTCTTTAAAAAATAATCAACGTTCTACTTACTTCCTCTGCGCATTGGTTTTGCACAGAGCAGGCCCGATCCTCCTCTTCTCGGGTATCCCACTGGCATTTCCGGCTCTTCCCTCACTAGTCCCTCCACCCCCGAGAGCCCACTATAGCAAGACTCTTGGGGGCTCGTGTGGGCACGCTCCCAAGCCGGCTCTGTGTGTCCATAGACATACAAAGTGCAGCTCAGCCCCACCCCCCGAACCCATCTCCCTGGTTGTGATTGACAACAGCAGGAGCCAATAGCTCCAGCCATGTTGTCTGAACCAATGAGGAGGGAGAAGGGCCTCTGCTCTCATGCACACCACTGGATTGAGATCAGGCTTAGTGAAGTATAAGGGAGTGCTTGGGGGGAGCTGCATGCAGAAAGTTTTTTTTACCTTAGAATAGAATAGAACCACTTAAGGCATGCATTTGAATTGCTTGAAACAGACATGTTTACCTGCTTTTTTTTTTACAGATTCTGCACATTTTCAGTAAGTTTCAGAATGTTTTTTGAGTTAGTTTTTTTTTCCCTTAAGGGCCCGTTAACACCACAAAAATGCCCTCCAGACCCACTCTGGATGCTTTTCTGTATGCACTTTTTTAACGTGTTTTTGATGCGTTTCTGGATGCATTCCAGATGCTTTTTTCCTTTTTTCCGCTGTACTGGGGTCCGGTGCTTTTTTTATGCTTTTCCAGTACAGTTCTGTGCAGGAAAAAAGCATCATGTTGTACTTACTTTTTGGGAACTGAAAAGCACTGGAATGCCCTGCTCTGGTGTGAACTATGCCAATGGAATCCATATAACTTGCTTTCTGTGCTCTTTTGATGCAAAAAAAAAAAAAAAGCACTGCACGTAGTATGAACTGGTCATTAAACATGATTTCTACAATACATGGCCACAAACTAGGGTTATGTTTAGTATTTTATACTGTTGAGCTTCTATTTTTTTTCCTTGAAGTTTAGTAATCTAAATCTTTTTATTTTGTTGTAGATTAAACATGGAAAGGTGTATAGCCCCTATCATGTTTTTATTGCTGTCTCTGAATGGAGATTTACCTTCACTTTTGTGCTGTTGATCATTATCTCCAACACAGAATTTGGTGGGAAATTCAAAATGTTTTAGTTGTCGCAAAAACAGGAGGTAAATGCAGGAAGCTTTTGTGGTGACTTTCCCTTGCTTTAGAGAGATCTCATCTTACTTCCTGCTTAGTTTCTGGAGCAGTAAGTGAAGGGAAATCTCTTGAATGATCTGCGAATTGATGCTGTTACTGTTGCTAAGCAAGAATAGATGCCTAGGCATGGATGGAAGGATGGTTTTCCCTCTTCTGTGCAGCGCAAACACAAATATTTAACCATCATGTGGGGATTCTATAACCTGTCCTAGCATAGAGTCAATAAAAAGAGAGAAGATGAATTGTTTGTACATTTTACTCCCTTAGATAATTAAGAAGATTGAGACATTAGTTCTACTTACCTGCTGATATCAACCACACCACTGCAATTTTTACAAGCGTTTTTGCTCTGGTGTTGAATTGACTGGCTTGGATAGGTTTTTTGATGGCAATATACCTGTCCAAAGATATAGCGCAAAGGTGTATAATTGATGCCGTGGAAAACAGGACATCTAAAAATAGCCAAATGGCACACAAGCACTGCGGCAGAGGCCAGGCAGGTTCTGAAATAGACAGACAAAAGACAATTTTTTGTCTAAATCAGTTTAACAATTTTTTTGCCATTTTTCAGTAACAATAAAATAAGTACAAGGTTTAAAGTGTTACTAAACCCACAACAGTAAAATCAGTCTGTATATGCAGTAAAGCATGCTTGTTCAAAGTCACGAGACTGCTCTAACTGCTGATGAGAAAAGGTATTTAGCAGTTTACATTTACTAAAATAATTGCATTTCCATGTTGTGTGTACTGTGGGAAACCAGATAGTGAATGCAGGGTCCTGTGTTTGGTAACACTTTAAGTACTTGCCTGCATAAAAGACAGTTAGATTGCAGTTTAGCAACTAGAGTTAAAGCAAAACTCAAGCCAAAGATCATAGGATTAAAAAAATACCCATTACAATATAAAATAAAACCAGCTTTTTGCTGCAATATTCATCTTCAAACCAGAGATTTTCCCCCACATCATTTTTTTTGTCTGCTGAAAATGCTTTCAAGGCCAGCATCATTCAATCCACCTCTTCTGAACCCAGGTAATCCTGGACTGACCCCCAGCCTATGACTGGACAGTAAAAGGAAAACAAACAAGATGATGAGCTTATCTGTCACTCTGTTTTCTCCCTCCTATCAGCATGCTTCTTGTCTGCGCACAAACTGATTGGCTCCTTGTGCTACTACTTTCTCACACACTAAAGCCCTTCTGTGCAAGGGCTGCATGAGGCTGATTTCCATGTCAGATTCAGGTATTTGCACCTCTTGCATATCTGTCCAGAGTTCAGCTTTTTTGATAATTTTTATCTAGGGTGTTTCAGTAAAATTTGATAGAATCCTATAATCTGAAATTAACATTTTACAGGTCATCTGTAGATGAGAAGATTGATTAGCAGCTGGGTAATAAACACTAATGCTGGCTTTAGCTAGTAGTCTAGGGATGTCACTCGTTGCCTTTTTTAATCTCCCACCATTGCCTCTACAGTTATATTTTGCCGCAAGCTTTTTAGGATGGTCTAGTTCTGTTTTTCTAGGTTTACTTTTTGTGTGAAGCTTCAAGTTGATAGACTTTGATCACTGGGCTGCATTAGTTTCAGCAATGATATTACCCTCTATCAAGCTGAAAAGATTAAACCTCTCAACCCCCGAGTATGTATGCAGCACTGGCAGTAAAATGGCAGCTTTCGTTTAAGGTTTTTCACACACATATTTGTTTTTCACACACACACATTACTTTTTTATTCCCTTCTATGTAATGAGTACTTGCCTACAGTGCTGTGCCTATGGTAGGCAACATTTGCAATGGTTAGCTATTGTCTAAAGGCTTATAGATCAGTCAGATGTGAATATGTCTGTCTTTGTAAATACGCTGTAATTAAGGCCTTTTAAATCGGTAGTAAACACCGCTTGGTCACTTGTACCTACAGGTAAGCTTGTAAAGCTTACCTGTAGGTACATTGAATATCTGCTAAATGTGCAAAGTGCACACTGAATGCGCCATCAACCCGGAGCACTGTGCTGCGACCGTGACTGCAGTGCACATGTGCAGGAGTGACATAATCGCTGCTCGGCCATTCAAACTGCCAGAGCCAGAATGAAGACCGGGTAAAGATGGAAGCCTTATCAGCAGTGACAGCGAGCTGCTGGAGGGATCCCTTTTGCAAGTAAGTCTGTAATGTGCTAGTATGTGGTCCTTTCCTCATGCGCTGCCAGCAATTCTGACAGGGGACATTTACACTGATAATCAGGGCACTGATCATCAGTGTAGCCTCATCCGTGTGTATCCGTGCCTCCTCATCAGCGCACATCAGTGAAGGAAAAAAAAAAAAAAAAACTACTTATTTGCAAATTTTGGAAACTGAAACGAAAAACATTTCCCCCCCCCCCCCCCCCCCCCAAAAAAAATTTCGGTCTTTTTTAGTTTGTTTAGCAAAATATAAAAACCCCAGTGGTGGTAAAGTGGTAGTAAACTCTTTTTTGCCGTGGCCATGCCCCAGGACTCCTGTGCGCATGCGTGGTTGTGACGTCATCGTGGCTTGGCCAGTCAGGCGGCCAGAGCTTGCGAACCCAGAAGGAAGACCAGGTGAAGATGGAAGCCTCTTCAGCGGTGACAGTACGCCTGTGGAGGGCTTTGTTTTAAGGGTAAATCCTTCATAATGTGCTAGTATGCGATGAATACTAGCACATTATGGCATTACCTTGCAGGGGACCTTTTTTTATTTTTTAAGCAGCAGTTTACTACTGCTTTAAATACCACCAAAAGAAAGCTCTATTTGTGTGAAAAAATTGATACAAAGTTCATATGGGTACAGTGTTGCATGACCATGCAATTGTCATTCAAAAGTGTGACATCGCTGAAAATTGGCATGGGAAGGAAGGGGGTGAAAGCGCCCAGTATTGTAGTGGTTAAAAGAAACCAGTTTTGGTAGTTACCATTTTTAACTTGTTTCTTAAATCACATGAACTTTTATACATATTTTTTCCTTTACAACTTAAATGCACATGTACAAATCAGGGTTTCTGATATGAACTTCTATGTTCTGGGTTTAATTACACACTATTGGCAATTGTAGCAGCAATTATTACCTGCTACAAAATCATCCATCTGACATCCTAAGCCCTGGTTAACATCCATTGGACTGGTCATGTGAGTTGAGAGTTCAAACTCTCATTACAAGTCACACCCCGCTAGCGGCAATGGAACTGTTAAAATCGATGCAACTCAAGTCTCAACGACTTTGAAAAAAGTTCCTGCGACTTCATTGCGACTTGCATTGACATCTGTGTGTCCGCAAGCCATGATGATGTGGCACTGAATAGATAGCTTCAAAGCTACACTGGCGTGAACCAGGGCTAAATAGCAAAGCAAGAATACAAATAATGACCTTCAAAAATTATTTGGCAAGTCAGCGTCCATTCCCCTTAACCAGGTACCACTGGCTGGAGTGTCTAAATGTTTCTTCCGCATATATATGTGAACATCTGTATTATGAAAACGTTATGTTCTCCAGAGACTCTTGATATGGGGAAAAAAGAACACTGAACGTTAAATAGTTCGCTAACATTAGCTGCCATGTTGTTGTAATCTAAGCTCCGTAGACTGAAGGCTCTAGGGTGTTTCCTAGTCACTCTGGTATTTTTTTTTTTTTTTTTTTTTTTTTTTACCACTCTGTCTTCTCTTTTCAGAGCTTGCAGAATTAAATATCGCTATTTTGTCTCTTGAAATTTGTTATGTTGAAAAAAAATGTTATGTTGGGGGACTAATGGTCAGAATTTGGTCAGACAATGTCCTGTGTGTAGCACCTGTAACCACTTGCCCTCCAGAGGTCCCCTTCCTGACCAGTCCATTTTTTGCTGTTCGGCACTGCGCTATTTCAACTGGTAATTGCGCAGACATGCAATGCTGTACTCAAACGAACTTTGTCCTTTTTTTCACACAAATAGAGCTTTCTTTTGGTGGTATGTGATCACCTCTGCATTTTTTATTTATTGCGCTTTAAACAAAAAAAGACTGCAAATTTTGAAAAAAAGAAGATATTTTTCACTTTTGGTTCTAAATAAATATCTAATAAACGCAAAGTTAAAGTTAGTCATGCATTTAGGGTAAAATGTATTCTGCTACATGTCTTTGGTAAAAAAAAAAAAAAAAATCTCAATACAAGTATATTAATTGGTTTGTGTGAAAGTTATAGCATCTACAAACTATGGTATATATATTTGGAATTTACGTAGCTTTTACTTTCTGACTGCCTATCACATATCTTGAGGTGCTAAAATGCCAGGGCAGTACAACCCAACCCCCCCCCCCCCCCCCCAGAGAGGCATGTTGAGTGCATGGAACATTTATCTTTTGGCACTAATTTTTTGAATATGACCATTTTTTTTTTCTTTTTTACACAAAGTTGTCAATTTAATGATATCTTGCTCATGCATTCCATGGGTGTATGTGGAAATACACCACAAAACACATTCTCCTACTTGTGCATACCACATGAGAGACTTTTTGGCAGCCTAGTTACATACAAGCCCCCAAAATCCAATGACCACCTCCAGGCTTTCAAAGGGCATATTTCCTCATATCACTTCCCCGCTACCTGTCATTTTCGGAGGCTCTGAAATGCCAGGATAGTACAAAACCCCCCCCCCCCCCAACTAAACCCCTTTTGGAAAGTAGACACCCAAGGATTTTGATAAGAGGCATGGTGAGTGTTTTCTTTCTTCGTTTTCCAAAAACATGGCAACAAATGAAATCTGCAAAACACTCACCATGCCTCTTAGCAAATACCTTGGAATGTCTACTTTCCAAAAAGGGGTCATCTGGAGGGGTTGCTTCTACTATCCTGGCATTTCATGGCCAACATTAAAAACTTATGCCACACATCACCCACTCTTGAAGACCAAGCCTTTTGCTAGAAAATTACTTTGAACCCACAAACATTATATATTTTTTTAAAGCAGAGGCCCTAGAGAATAAAACGGTGGGCGTTGAAATTTTTTACGTCACACAGCATTTGCGCAGCGATTTTTCAAACACAAATCTTTTGGAAAAAAATACACTTTTTCGAATTTTATTGCACAAAAACACAATATTTTGCCCAATTGTTTGATAACATATAAAAGATGATGTTATGCTGAGTAAATGGATACCAAACAGGACATGATTTTAAATTGCGCAAGCCCATGCAATGGCAACAAAATATATACATTTTTATTATCGATAGGCGATGCCTTAAAAGCCTTTACAGGTCACCAATTTATATTTACACAGGAGGTCTAGGGCTAAAATTACTGCCCTCGATCTGATGTTTGCGGCGATACCTCACCTGCATGGTGCAACCGCTGTTTACTTACCGGCACAGGGTCAACGCTTGTGCACGCAGGTCAGTGCGTGCAGGGGGGCAATGGTGCTTTTTTTTTTTTTTAGTTATTTTCATTTTTTTTTCTTCAATGGGCATTTTCATCGATTCTTTTTTGAGAAATCTGGGGTCTATCAGACTCTAGATATCTCCTCTGCC